AAAAAATGACCCGGTGCTCTTTATCAAAAGGCTACTTACCTCTATCACTCTTACATCAGCTGTGTAACATGCCAAGGCTTTGCATTTTCTGCATAGCAGTTTTTTATTTTCCTTATCAAGTACAGGTTTTGCTTTTCCTTGACTGTCTCTGATGAATTTTTCATGAATCTGTATACGGAGAATCTACATGCAAAAAGAAAAACCTCAAATGTAATTTGAATGTAACATATATAAAGACATATGCATACATATATATACATGGACATGCACACATATATATATGCATATGATCATTCATATAAAACTTCCTTAAACATATGATACCTGGTTTGTAAAATCCCAGATTTTATGAGTTCTCCTAACTCCATATTAGTGTTTTATTGTGGCCTCCAATTAGTCTTTCATTTTCTTCATTAAAAATATCTATAAAAGCACTACAGATATCCATAAAATGGTTGTGTGAACTTTTATACTTTATTGGTTGACAAAACTTTAAAAATCCTTCACAAATAGATATATAATACACGCCAACTGTTTCAGGCATAATTACAACACCCACTCCAGGCATAAACCCACTGAGTGGAGTAGCAGGCAGAAGGGTCCTCACCCTGTAAAATCTTTCCTCTTTCCCTTTCAACCACAGAGAATAATGTTGAGTTCCAGTAAAATTAAGTGTATGTACAGTGTGACTGTATTCTAATTCAAAATTTAGGCTTTGGGTAAGTACAACTCAAACCCTGGACATTATATATAAAACGTAAGATGCTGAAGAGACGAAGGCAGACCAGCTAGGAACCTCCGGACCTTGGGAACAACATGTAGTGGGCTCCCTTGGTTTCCTTTTCACTTGATATATCCGGACTTGGAGCTAAAGAAGCCAGCAACCTGAAATGCCTATGGTTGTAGTCAAAAAGTCTCAACAAAAGCCTGCACTTTGTAGCCAAAGGACCAGAAAAGGGTAGTCTAGCAAGACAGAAAACTTTCAGACAACTGCTCTGTTCCAGCCAAATACCACAGAAAAATAAAACCGTGGCCCAACCCCTGGCTATGCCAACACAGGCTGCGTAGGGGACCTGGATTTCTACCTTGCAGAACTGGAACGAGACACCGAGAAGCCTAAGCAGGGAGCCAGGTCTTTCAGCCCTGCCACCTGGTACTGTAGCCCCCCTTGTCTGTGGTGTCAGTGGAGGTCACATGGGGAGCCCAAATTCTCACCCCCACTCAGCAGTAAGGAGGAGCCTCCCTCCCTCCTTCCCGTCTGCTGTGCTGATATCAACAGAGGCTGACTGGGGAACCTGGACACATGACTCCACCTGGCAAAGCTGAGGCAACATTTGCACCTCTCCTGCCAGAGCAGTGTCAGAAAAAGCCAGCTAACAGAAGGTTAAATAAGATCCAGAGTCTCAAAATACGAAAATGTCTGGGTTTTGATTAAAAAATATATATCACTTTTCATACCAAGAAACAGGAAGATCTCAAACTGCATGAAAAAAGACAATCAATAGATGCCAACAGTGAGATGACAGAGATGTGTGAATAAAGATTCTAAAGCACAATAAAAATGCTTCAATGAACAATCATAAACACTCTTGAAACATGAGAAAACATAAAAGCTCAGCAAAGAAAGGGAAGACATAAAGAAGAACCAAATGGAAAATTTAGAACTTAAAGATACAATAACTGAAATAAAAAGATCAGCGGATGGGCTTGACAGCAGAATGGAAGGGACAAAGGAAAGAATAAGTGAACTGGAAGATAGAACAATAGAAATTACCCAATTTGAACAACAGAAAGAAAGTACACTGAAAAAATAAGGAACAGAGAGTCTCAGATCTGTAGGACTATTTTAAAACATGTCATGTCATTGGAGTCCTATAAAGAGAGAAGAGAACAGGGCTTAAAAAGTACTTGAAGAAATTAATTGTTGAACATTTCCCTAATATACATAACAAGCTGCATAAACCTAGATTCAAGAAGTTGAACAAACCCCAAACTGGATAAAACCAAAGAAATTCACTCTAAGACACATTATAATTAAACTTCAGAAAACTGAAGACAAAAAAATCTTGAAAGCAGCCAGGAAGAAAATAACACCTTACCTATAGGGGGAAAGCAATTTGAACAACAGTGGATTTGTCATCAGAAAGCATGGAGGCCACAAGGAAGTGGCAGAATATTTTTCAAATGCTGAAGGAAAAGAACTGTCACCCCAGAACCCTAGACTCAACAAACGTATCCTTCAAAATGAAGGGGAAATCAAGACGTTCTCACATGAAGGAAAACTAAGATTTTGTCACCAGCAGACCTACCCTAAAAGAATGGTTAAAGGAAGTTTTCTAAACAAAAGGAAATGATAAGGAACATCTGAAACATTATGAAGGAAGAAAGAATATGCTGATTTCCTCAGTGTCATCTGTGGAAGAATCTGCCTGTCCCACTGGTTTGTGGGGTTCCCTCTCCATTATCAGATTGCATGTTCGAGTGCTCCAGGTGGAGTCAGACAGCATAGGAGCAAGTCCTGTCCCTGCCACTAACTTGCTACATGATTGGGGCAAGAGCCTCAGTTTCCTCAAATACAGAATGGGAACAATGGCAGCGTCCACTTTGTGGACTATTGGGAGATAACATGAATTTATAACTGCTCAGACCTGCCTGGCACAGGGTAGATGCCCATCTGTGTTAGCCTCAGTCTGTTAGGCTAGTCTTATGCTAAGAACCACAAGAATACTAATCAGGGTCGCTTGTTTAGTATTGGGTAGGGTGATCTCCATTCATTAGTTATTTTTGTAGAAATATTACAGCTATTTTCATCTATTTATTCTTTTATATAAACTGGAACCATTTTATCGAATTAAAAATACCATTTATGCTTTGATATGGGTTGCAGTAGACCTACAAGTGAATTCGTGGTGCATTCTTTAAAAGATTCGGTCATTCCATTCAAGAGCAGGGCATTACTTTTGTCTTAATTTACTTCCCTATCTCCCAGGAAAATTTTTGTAGTTGTCCTTATTTCTGCTTCACACTTTTCTGGTTAGGCCAGCAGATACAGTGGTTAAACAGATGGGCTCTACCAGCTCCACCACTAACTAGCTGCGTGATCCACTGGCACTGACGTGCCTCATGACGCTGTTTCCCTCCTATAAAGTGATGTAAGAGGCTCTACCACATGGATCACCTACCAATATAAGAATTTGCAGGGCTTGGTGGAAAGTCAGAGTTCCACATGCATAAGCTGCATTTACTTTCTCTGTAAATGGAAATCTCCCTCCCCCTTATATCTGCCAGCTGGTTTCTGATCATACATAAGAATCTATTGATCCTTATATCACTTCAAATACAATTTACATGAGAAAAATTTAGACTAGAAAGTTTTGATAAAGAAAACCAAGTATGATTTACTCTCCCCTACTCCCCCAGCCCCATCCCACCTGAAATTATCTTGTTTTTGTAAAAATGAAGAGTGTTTATGTCTGTTTTCAATCCAATTTTTCACTGTTGTAAAATTATTACATTATATATGTTCATCCCATTATTTCCTTCAGATAAATTTCTAGAATTGAAATTCTTGGGTCACATGATACACATTTCCCTAGGAACAATTTTAGTTTTTTCAGATATGGTTCTAATCACTGCTTGAGGCAGGATGGGGGTCAGAGGGATGTGATAGGAAAGAGAGTAAAAACATAAACTGGCCCCTTGGGCATCTGGTTTTTTTAAAAATTCACTTATGTCTGTCTAATGGTATTCAATCATATACTAAACTTCAATTAAATAATAATCTCAAGTATTTTAAATGTTACTATAGGCAATAGCTATAAATCCTAACAAGTTAAAACTATTACTGCTAAATAAAGATAAGTAACTGAGTAAAGGCTCAACCAAAGCCCTAAGTCCATGGCACTGCCTCTCCCCCCGCCAACCTGTAGTTGAGACAGCAGCCTAACTGCACACCTGAGATGGAGAAAAGCAAACTGTGGAACCCGACTGTGTGCAGTCTTGGGTACACATCATGTTGGAAGTCTCGTTCAAAGTGGACTTTCTTTCACCCCCTGTCTTGTTCTCTGCTCCATGAGGAAGGAAAAGCAGTCTTCCTCATTTTGATTCCAGATATCCCTTTCAGAACCTCAGCTGTCAAAAACACCCTTCATACCTTATTCCTCCAGCATGAAATAGGACCAAATGCTGAAGCTTCCATCATGGAACTCAGTTCTCGGACCTCTCTAGCCTGTCCATGTGTTAAGACGGCCACAGAGTAAGCAGAGAGCTCCCCCAGATCCCAGTGCTGGTGGCAGCAGGCCCCCCACAGACAGTGTACAGCGCGGCTGGGGAAGATGGCAGACAGTCTCCTGGCACTCACTGCTCGTCCCTCTACTCTCCACCTACTTACAGAAGCTCCCAACTTTTTCCTTCTCTTCTGTGCAGTTTTCTTCCTTCCGCTGAAGCCCATCAACAGGGATCGGAGTGCTCAAATCCAAACCCTAGGCCGTTATCAAAATACCGCAGAAGCGGGGGGTCTCACCCCAAGAACCATAATTCCATTCAGTTTTAAGAATATAAGATCTTCCCTACCTTGTTATCCTTCTACTAAGTCTTTGACAGCAAAGCCTTCCTCTTTGAACAGAGCAGCTGGCGCGGATCATCTATGACAGGACAGAGATGACAACAGAACCCTGCGCTCCCAGCTGCCAGTGACTTCCGGCTACACTTGTTCTGGGCTCCCTCGTGTTATTTACCTTCTCTGCCCATCTATCTGTGGGTGTTAGGGGAACCCCAAATGCTATTAGCCAATTCCACAGATACTTAACCCATTTTCTTCTCACCTCACTCCTCGTCCTGCTGTGCTGGACACAAAAGAACATCTATGTCTGGGCCAGCCTCCCTCTTCCTTGACAGACTTTACTGCTCTGTCACGTAAGAGTCTAAGCAGCTTGTCACTCAGTGGAAGAGATAAAAATTATGCCGTGGTTATTAAAACCCATGGTTTTAAAGCCTTTACTGGCAATATCCCTATGTTCTACAAAATGGGGAGGTGGCTCACTGAAGACAACCCTACCTGCAGTAACACTAGAGGAGGAACTCAAGAATTTCCCTGTAATTCTTCTCACTAAAAATGTGGAAGTAGTGGTTTTAAATCAGTGTCCCAGCTTTAGAAAGAAGTATTTTAAATTAGTAAACATTGACATAAAGTTGTAATTATGTCCTAAATAAGCATTAATTTGTTTAGATCATTGCTTCTCAATACTTTTGGGAGCACAGAGATTATAACTTTTTAAAGTTGTAGACACTCTAGAGTTGGTCTACTGAACCGTTAACGTTCATCTTCATGAAGTTCAACTGTGCCTCACGCCTCTGTCCAACAACAGCTCTCACTTCTTTAGCACTTATACCAGGCACTGCACTAAGCAATGCATACATATCATTTTATCCTCACAAATGCCCTGTGAGTTAGATCCCATTATTTTCCCAGCTTTACAAATGAGGAAATGGATGATTTAAAAGACAGAGTAACCCCCTGAAATCGCATATCTTGTAAGTGGCAGAACTGGGATTTGAACCTTGGATTCTAGTGTTCAGATTCTCCCGTATCCCTGTAGTGTTCAATGCTTCCAGAGATTCTGAGATAAAAACCTCTACAAAAGGTCTGGAGGACGTGTGGGCAGGTGTATATGCGTGCATTTCTTGACTTTCTCCAATCTGATTTCATGCTTCTGCGTTATAAAGGAAATTACAATACAATGAAGGTCGCTACCAAGAGGCCCATCTGAACAGGGATACCACTCCAAGGTATAAATTACTGTCCACAGCTATTAATACAAACGGGCATTCTGACACCTGCAGTGACCTGGGAGCTCTTCTCTGAGGACTCTGGATGGTAGAGAGAGCGAGAGAGATTTGAGTCAGGGACTAAGAGCGGTTTCTTGCAGTGTTAGGATGTAGCTCTCAGTATGGACTGTCAAGAGCAATTCTAGCTGTATGCCTTTTAGATCTAAAAACATAACTTCAAGTATCGGCACTAATAGAATATATTTTAATCTCGTTGGCATTTAAATTTTTTTTTTTTCTTCCTAGGAAGTCCTGAGTCAGTCGCTGACATTTAAACAAAATGAATGTGATAGTCACTGCAGGACAAAACTAAGTATAAACTCACTGTTCTAATACAATACTCTGAGCAATATGGTAAAAGACCAACATGCTCACATTCCCTGATTGTTATTCATGGTCAGATTCTGAAAGAGTAACACAGACTTACCTTTTCTTTAAATACTGCTTCGTCCCATGTCTGAAGGCTTAAAATGGATTCATTCATCATTTTTTCTTTGTATATGTTTATTTTTTCTTTTTCAATTACATCAGCATTACTAGTCAAAAGAAAGCACTTGCTACCTCTTGCTCTTCCTCTACCTATCAGAAAATAAATATTTCATTTGGTGTTTTTGATTTAAAACTGATACAATCTGAGAATAGGTAAACAAAGGGATAGAGGTATTCCTAAAATTCAACTTTGGTTCACTAAGTATCGCTTTCTAGGGAAGCTGAGCTGTTAAAGAGTGGGCTCAAATGCAGGTGTGCACCTGCCCGTTAAACAGGTGGATACACCAGGAGCCCACCTTAGGCTGGCTTTCTCAGGTCTCCAGCAGTGCTGTGTGACTGGACAGCCTTACTATCAGAAACACTACTTTAAGATGACAATCCAACATGAACCCTCAATAAGACACTCTGATGGCTCTAGATGAATAATAAATAGACCCCGGCCAGGCATGGTGGCTCATGCCTATAATCCTAGCACTCTGGGAGGCCAAGGCGGGAGGATCGCTCAAGGTCAGGAGTTCGAGACCAGCCTGAGCAAGAGCGAGACCCCGTCTCTACTAAAAATAGAAAGAAATTATCTGGACAACTAAAAATATATAGAGAGAAAGAATTAGCTGAGCGTGGTGGCGCATGCCTGTAGTCCCAGCTACTCGGTAGGCTGAGGCAGTAGGACTGCATGAGCCCAGGAGTTTGAGGTTGCTGTGAGCTAGGCTGACGCCACGGCACTCTAGCCCGGGCAACAGAGTGAGATTCTGTCTCAAAAAAGAAAATAAAAATAAAAATAAATAAATAAATAAACCTCCCCCCGCCCCAAAGAGTCTTCTAAGCAGTGGGGAAATAAGGTATGTTCACAACCAGCAGAACATAGGTAGAAAATTGTATGTGCTGTTACAAAGTAGATAATGAGCAAAAGGGAAAAATGAGAAATAAAGTTGAAAAGACACATGGGCGCTGGATTTTGAAAACTCTTTAACATCAAGTAAATTGGGGAACCACTGGAGTTTCCATATAGGGAAGTGGCAGGCTCAGAGCTTTTTTTTTTTTCAGGACGAGTAATGTGGCAACTGTTCTTATAGAAATTGGAAAAAGGAAAGGAAAAGGAGGGAAGACTAGTTAGGAGACTATCTAGTCCAGACGGAGCAGAAGAACTCTGGAGTATCCCTTCTGGGATACAGGGAGCCAGCCCACCAGCACCACCATCAAAGGTCCACACACAGGCAAAGCCTCAATTCAATTTTGAATCATCCTTCCATAAATATGTCAGTCAACACTGGGCAAATAAGCAGTATCATTGTGAACAAGAATCAAAATAGGGTATATGTGAGTGCACAAAACTAACCATGCAAGCCTAAGTAAGGCATCTTTAGGGCCAACACACCAAACTGCACTGTGCCATTGGTTACAAACTCAACCACGGCTCAGTAAAGGAGAGCAGCCAGAATGACAGACACACTCACAAATCAGACAAAACAGAAGCCAGGCAGAAATGGCATCAAAGCTTCTCTCACCTCTGGTTTGGATCATTTTGATGACATTGCCCACGTACTCATACAGGATGACAAGATTGCACTGTGCAATGTCGATGCCTTCATCAGCAACCGAGGTGGCTATCAGAATGTTGTTATCTCCGCTGGTTCTGAATGCATCCAGTATGCACTTCTGTGCCGGGAGGGTCATTCCTGGATCAGATTAAGAGGGTATTATACAACTCACCGAAGAGGGAACTTGCGCCTTGAAAAAATAGCTACTAATGATGGAATGCTCACTACATGCCAGGGAGTATCTCTGTGATATCCGTGATCTCACAGCACCCCTAGGCAGTGGGGTCTATTCCTGTGCCTGTTTTAGAGAGGACATTCAGGGTGGCATCCAACAGCCTGGACTCTGCCACAAGACTGCTTGAGTTAAAATCCCAGTTCTGGTACTTACTAGTTGTGTGGCTTTAGCCATATTATCCCCCCAAAATATTGACTCTTTTGCAAAAATATCAACAGCTAATTGTAACACCTTTACAGGTGTATAAGAGTTTATAGCTGACAAAACATCTTCACCTGTGCTCACTCACTGGAGCTTCACAAAGCCCTTGTAGGTCAATGGGGCAAGTGTTGTGATTCCCATTTATAAATGACAGCCTTGAGGTTCCAGAGGTGTGGCAGACTGACAGGCTAGCTAGCAGCAGAGTTCAGCGTTGGACTTAAGTCTAGGACCCTAACAGTGTGCACTATTGGGTTGTCTCCCACACACACACCCACAAACCTCTCTTCTCTAAGAGTCATTCCCTGCCATACCCGCAGGGGTGAAACCCTGGGTAGCTGCAGTTGTATCATGTTCCTCTATGAAAGAAACAATGCCATCTGTTCACCAAACCCTGTTTCTTTCTCCTGCTGGGCACACAGCCAAAGTGCACTTCCCAACCTCCCTGGCATTGCAGTTAGTTGGGGCCTTGTGACTAAATTCTCATTAACAGCATGCAGACAGAAGTAACGCATGTCTCCTCCAAACCTGACCCCTAAGAATTGTCCATGCTCTTGTTACTCCTAATCAGTGGACTAGATAAGGTCACAGTGGAGGATCTCGAGACCCACCTGGAATGACAGAACCATAAAAAGGAAAAGCAGCCTGGAGATCTGAGTGGAGGTGGGCGGAGCAGAGCCACCTCCCCCACCTATCTGTGCTTGGACTGTCAATGCAAATGAGCAATAACCCTTACTGTGCTACGCCCCTGAGACTGTAGGGTTGTCTGTCAAAGCAACTAGATTACCTTGATTTACACAGAGCCTGTAACCCTGCCTGCAGTTATTGGATTGAATAAGCATTTGAACCATGCTGGGCCAGTCAGATTCTCCCTCTTAGAATCTGAAGTTGGGACTGGGAGACAGGTAGTAAACTGGGAAGGTGTGGGGCAGTCCTGAATGGAGAAGCAGAGAGCACAGTCTGTAAAGGGAAAAGAATGAAGCAGATACGTGGGATTCAAAAGACCTTCCGGTCCCAATTGCAATTGTCCATGAAGCCCAAGTGCACTTCCTGATCGTGGGTTCTACGGCAGACGTGATTACCCTTGCAGCCAGCCCCGCTTTGCTTGGACTAGCCTCAGTGGGTTTCTGTTAATTGGGGGAAAGAAAGGATCTTGACTAAGACAGCCACATGCTGCCTTCTAATATCCAACGATCATGGAGGCTAAATTTAAATTGTCTGAATACAGAGTGAAGTTAAGGGGCGATAATCACCCAGTCTATGTGATCATGGCAAACACACAAAATGGTGACTCAAAGAATATGCATACTAAAGTTCAAACTTTATGGGTCCCAAAGACCCATCTACACTTACATATTAGTTGAATCACCTTCTGATCTCCATGCACTGTTTACAGGACAGACCCACCTCAGGCAGGTAGAGGAAGGTAATATGTATTACCTTCCTTTACCTGGCTGGCAGTGGGCTCTCAGAGTTTGTAGAAAGATCCTTTGAATTATGAATAACTC